ATAAATTTACTTTTGGCCGATTCATTGGCGAAGAAATAACCTCCGATACTCTTGAAGTAATTGTCTGGGTGCATCTTAAGTCCGAACTGGATATGCTGACGAAGAGAGAATTTATGCCACTAACGGGAATTGACTCGGTCTTCCAGCTCAAAACCAGTCTCTACACTGGCTAATAAGCATATATTCCGGATCGAGTCCCGTTTCTTACTATTTCATATGTACAACGAATATAATTTGATCGCAGAAATGAGAATATACTTTTTGGAACTTCCAGATGTATACATTGGTACAGAGGTGATTTAAGCCTCGGCTCATAAGCGAGTTTACTTTCACCGTTTTATATTCCATTCCTGTTTGCGCTGAAACATTTGCACAAGTGGGAGGGGATCTCAGAAGCATCCATTTCGTTCATTTAAATTCAGGGAACTGTTTAATTCAACATGTCTTCATATAATGAGCACTCCATTATGACTGCCTTTGCTAACTACTACTCTCTAATTAGAATAAGAATAAACTAAAAGAAAGTAATAATCGAGAACAGCGGACAAAACTGTTTCAGACGCGTTCACGCATCCTAAAGTTTATGAAGCCCCTTTTCCACAAGTCACTTTATTAGGACCTACGAATGACGAACTGAAAGTACATAACTATTTCAGTTATTTTTACGTTTCTCGTAATTCAGATTCAAAACCTGCCACTGTGAGACAGTGTGAGAATAAACAACAAGAAACTCACCAAAATTTGGTTGGAAACGGAACCAAATTTTGGATATATTTAAATAAGGAAAATCTGAGTCCCCTTATTTCAAGTAAAAACTCTTCACAGCACTAGAAACGGAAGCCTAAAACCAATGTAAATTTGTTTTGATTTTATATTATACGGTGTATGGATTTCGGCATGGGGTTTCATTGTATGAAATAATAGAAAATGTGCCTAATTTCTTCATGCATCTAATAATTGGTTCCGGGCCCCAGACATGGGGTAGACCTCCCACTTGGGGGTTGGGCTGAATGCTAACTTCTGTGTTAACAAAATGTTATACAGGTCCTCGAAATTGTCTAGGTTCTTTCGAAAAGTCTAAACAAATTACAATATGCATGAATTGTACCTGCCACTGAACTGCTGATGTTGGAAAACATGTTGTAACAGGAATTAATGAGTTAGTAACTCTCCTACAAGCACTGAAAAAACATATCAAACATCTCATTTTCTTTGATCTGTTTTAAATTGATATGCTAATAGTTTAAACGATGAGAGATTGGGGGGGGCGTACTTGAGTGGATAGTGTGTTGCTAGGGGATCCGTGGTCTCGGAACGTTTGAGAACCACTGCATTAAGATGTTATTGAATGGAGCAGGCCGTAGCGAAGTGATCTTTATTACAAAGTGAAATTGCTGGCACTGGTTATCGTGGTGCTGCCCTTATACAGCTACATAATATGGGTGGGGTTGAGAGCAGAAATTGATAACTACATCACATTCAGGAGACGTAAATATTTCTTGATACCTGTGAAAATTTTCCAGTAAACGAACTTCAACCATTTACTCACACAGAGGTTTAGAGTTCTCAACAAGCCATCATGAACCTGTAACATCTCTGTTGATGTTTTTGGCAAATAATTAAATGAAATTGTCCACATGAATTCTAAGCAATCTTAGATACTTTTGACACGTGACTGTCATGGCAGTATCAGAGGGATTTGTATACAAAACCCATATTCAGACAACAAACGTGCTCGTTACAGAGGTTTTCCTCAGAAATGACGCAGCGTCAGTTACATATCAGCTGGCTATAATTTGCGTGTGATGAACACATTGTTCTCTGAAATAGCCGGTTGGATAAATCTACCTCTAAGTTACTGTGTGCAGAATTTGATCCAGTATGTGACAGTATTCATTGTTAGCGCAAAGCACATTGTAAAACGCTTGAAATGTTCACCAGACCAAACAGTAACCTCCTTTTGTTAGCAGTCTGTAGCTTCGCCATTTGTAGTCCAGGTTCTGTTGCGTACTTTGCAGTTAATTGTAATTTTCATTTCCTGTCGCTCCTCGAGTTCTGAAGCTAACATCACTGACATTAGAGTGTAAGAGATATTTCTCAGGAAATTGGAGCAGGGAAATCTTGCAAAGCTAATTGAAAATTAAAATAATTTTAAATATCAAACATGCATTTAATGTTTTGGAATTCTCCATGTAGATATGAGTTCAAACGCTTATTCTTTTATGATTTACATTTCTCTTTGTTCCGTAGCCTTTAGTCCACAAGCGAACTATACCGACCGAGCGACCGCCGATTGCCGGCGAAGTTAGTGCCAACTTGGGCCGCGCCATAGCTCAAGCGGTTAATCGCTGGGTTAGTCCACAAGCGAACTGGGTTCGATCCCGGGTGTGGTCAAGTGGGATTTGTGGTGGATAAGTGGCGCTGGGGCAGGTTTTCTCCCAGTACTTCGATTTCCCTGCCAATCTTCATTCCACCAATTGCTCCACAATCACCCTCACCTATCATCTGGGGCTGGTACAATAGGCCAGAAGTGGTAGCCGTACAAGGGACTTAGTCCCACCCCAATAGCAGTAATAATAGTGCCAAATTTGCGGATAGAGGGTGTCGCGTGATCAGCGCAACGGATTCCCACGGCCGTTAATCTCGGTTTTCTAGACCAGATTTATGATTTATATAGCTGTTTTAAACCAAAATGAAATGTGTATACGTTTATTATGTTATATACATGTGAGGGTACATGTGATGTACACAACATATCGCAAACTTGATCTGTTTCCATCTCCACGTGTAAAGAGTGAAAAGGATCCTACTCAGTTGGGCCCGTTAGAATGTAATATCTTAATGATAATTTATATTATGCATAGAATATGATGGATGTTATATCATGTATGTCTACTTAAAAGAACTTCAGAGAGACACGGTATGCTGTGATGTTTTGTACTAGTTCTCTAAGGAAATTAATTACTCAGCCACGAAATTTGTCCTCGCTAGGAAATTCTTAGGTCGTTCTGTGTTATTTAGCAACAGCAGAATGGCAGCGCATCCGATGTGATACGTTGGTGTCAACGTTTACACTTCCACACATCCAGATAAAGGAAAGGTAAACCTTTATTTATCCAAAATATTCTCCATCAAAGTATGCTGATGTTGGGACGGTTTTAATCGGTTTGAAGTATTTATGATAAATTTAATCCTAAGCTGTACTCTGTTGTGTTTCTTTCCACATAGACAAACTATAATAACTAACGTATACATTATTTGTCACAATATCACCTACAGGTAGTATTTAATTTTTATCTTGTACAGACATTATGTTTTTGGACATTATCTATCACCTTGTCTTTATCTAAAAACCGTCCTGTTTATTTTTCAAAACACAGCGTTTCGGAGACTGGATTCTATCTCCGTCTTCAGGTAAAGCCTACTCATTTGGGCCCAATCGATATAGCTAGTCCCTATCTCCGGACCAGAAGTCAGTTCAGTCGGATCGAGGAATTGTTAGCGTTATACATGTTGATTGGAGTTTTGGTTTCTGCTGTGAATATATTCTATCCTCTTCTGCGGTCCATACTGCTGTCTGCTTACACGTCGTGTAGTAAGAAAATACATTTCAACGATGCGCATGCGAACTGGTCTGCTAATGAAAATTTCGAATACATAAGACGATCAAACCACGGAGGCTGAAATTGGTGGAGCAAAGTGTTCTCATGTCTGGCTATGAGAAGTAGATTCTAGTCGACAAACCTAAGGGAGGACGCCATTTCCAGATGTACACATATATAAGAGGATAATATTAAGATGGATGTTAAATCCACAGAATCTGAGCACATGATCTCCGTCCATCTGGCTCAAATTGTAGCTCAGGGGAGGGATCTTGTGGGTCCACTATTTTTGCACTAGCTGCCGACTGTTAATTCTTGAGAAGAACTCTGTCCACTTAAAATAATAATAATTATTATTTCCTTGCGTGTACATTTTGGGCGGTTTTTGAACTTAGCATATCAGTTTATATCATGTTATTACGTACATAAGTACCAGAGAATGAAGATTGAATGGACTCTGGCGTTCAAATAATGAAAGTCTATTGACGTGCGAACCCTTTAACAAGGATCAATATTTATAACGTCCTAATGACCATTGATCGTAAACTTTATGTATGCTGAAGCAGTGTGTTCTTTATCCATATATGAGAAACAGGGACACTTATATCCAGTTTTGAACAGCATCGCCCTTCATGTACACCGAAATTTGAGTGGAATTGTCGTACGTATTTTCATTTATTGTTTTTAACACTCTATCTACTAGAGGCGGAAACTGTACATCAAGTTACAGACAAGTCGCTAACGACAGCTTAGATTGGGCTGTTTATTTAGCTGCAGCTGTTGTAAAAGTCCACTTTTCCTGTCTGTACCGATCGCCCAGTACAGCCTGTCACTCCTCTATTTCAGTTACCATCCTACCAGAACACTGGTAATGTTGAATGATGTGTAGCGGATGTTCATTATCTCTAACGAGCGCCTGGACTAAATACGAGATTAAGCGCTAAAGGAAATACCAGTACATTGATCAGTCAGTCCATTGGGGGGACCAAGTAGAGGAAGTTTGGACAGGACGCGGTTTAAACACAATTTTCTGTCCACAGCATGAATCCATTCAGACCAAATGATATTCACTCTGCTACTTTGTTTCTATATTATGTGTCTAGGTTCCTCGGATTGGCTTCCTACGGATACAGAACACGCGCGTCCGCAAATCCGTCCAGACCAAATAGAAATAGGAGCAGCAGTGATAAGTATGAATTTGAACGAGAGTTCAGAACCTCCAAATGTGCAGTTCTATACACAGGATTAATATTGGTAGCCCTACTGGTTTGGTTAGTTTATTCTTTGGTGCTGAAGATACTGTATGACTTCTCCGACGTGAAATTGACGTACGCTGTAACTCAAATAATGACTTTGTGTTTATCGGCTGCAACAACTGTGGTATCTTTGGGACTAGAACTCACGTGTAACAGAAAAAGACTAAAGAAAGTAATGTTGAAACTTTCTTGTGTTGATAAAATATTAATGCCGGACAGTAACTACGTCCATAAGAAAATGAGTGGTTTCGTCGTCTTGGAACTTGTGGTGTTTATATTTCTGTTAATCGCTCGACATGGCTATGAACTGTGGAGCAGGGGAGGGAAGCAATATGTTAATATAATCATTAGATTCGTGATTCATTTCATGAGCACCATTATGATAATTCAGTTTGTGAGTTTTATACATATTCTGAAGCAGAGGTTTCGTTGTGTCAACAGGCAGTTGTCTTTGCTTGGAGGTATCGATGAGCGAGAAACTGGTTTGGAGACCGTTAGAGTGGGGTTTGCGCAACACAAATTTGGCATCACCGCTTCTCACAACACAGTAGTAGTGCCACATGCGGATAATGCTCCGATTTCAAATTCTCTTGAACAAGTTTCGGCTGCTACGTCAGTCTTTATATCTGATACGGAAATTGGCCACTTATCGTCCACGTCATCATCCCCAAAGTTCAGAACACAGAGCCGTCTCCAAGATGTGGCAAATATCCACACGCTCAGATGTGTTCACACCATTCTGTATGATGTATGTGGACTGGTGAACTCTGTGTATGGACTCCAGTTGCTGCTGGCTATGGCCTACATATTTATGTCGGTGGTGAAATATTTCCATGTGGTAATGATTTCCAACGTAAGTTCACATGAAGATCAGTTGAGTAACTTTCGTGTTGACGGAATTGTACCGCTCATGTGTGTGGTGTCTATCCATATTGCAAATGTTCTCTGGGTTACTGCTTCTTGTACCTGTGCGTGTTTTGAGGCTGGTCGTACCACAACTCTAGTCAACAAATTTCTGCTCATACAGCCCTTAACTTCTGATATATCGAGTGAGCTGGAACAGTTCTCTCAACAGTTACTGCATTCTAAACTGAATTTCACGGCGTTTGGATTTTTCAGTCTCGATTTTACGTTTCTTTATGGGTTTGTTGGCGGAGCAACTACATATATAGTAATTTTACTCCAGTTTCAGTAAATTGGTTTTCTTAGATTATTTTATAGAATAAATTGCTATTTTGATATATTTATTTTTGTTTTTAATAAAGTTTGAGCTCAGTGTTTTAATTAATTAATATATGAACGCGATTATCTAAGAGTTAATCTGTCTTTTTCATGAAACACTTCCAAGTTCATCCTCAGTAACACATTCAACTACCCTGACACCCCAGAATTTGATAGAGTCCATCCTCCGACAGGTATTTTAGTGTAAGTTGTTTCCTGTGTGGGGAAAAGTTATTCACATTTTTGGTGAACATAAAACATAAGAAGAAGCAGTTTTTCTTTATTTTTCGAGATATTATTACTAGTGCATAGAATCTTCAGCATGAATAGTTTTAACCGAGAAATTTCTTCAAGATCGATTATTTCTTAGTAAAAGAGTGCGTGAAACTAAACATACGTTATCGTCCTCCTTGTGAATGACACTACTAGGTACGTTGTTAAAAAACGAGACAATTTTGCTGTTAAATGAGAAAGGATAAGACATAAGACAATTTTACTACGTCCAGAAATTATTGTAAAATTTTTCAAATGTTAACACACAAATAATATTTTGCAATAAATATATATTTTCAAGCAAATTTTTTGTTACATTCAGGTTAACCATGTAATATTTGATAAATGCGTTTCGACCCAACTGGACCACAGTCTACGCCCTATCGTCCCTTTTTTCACTATGAAGTAGTCACCTTCCTAACATGTTTCCTCCCGTCGTACAAGACAATTTTCTATTGGGTCTTGTATGCAAGAAATATTCAAAAAACTATCGGAACAGCAAGCAGAGAGCAATTACATCTTTCAAAATGGATCCGCCTTGTACTGCAACGTGACATATTAAAATAAACGCCACATTATAAAATTACATATTTATTATTGAAGTATAAATGATTCCTTCCCACCAAGACCGCTGCACTTATCAGTTGACCGCCGCACAAGAGTGTCTGTGGAACAAAATCCATCCAAGAACAAACTCAATTTATACTTATCCAGTAAAATCTTTTGTTCGAATACTTAGTATTTAGAGCAATGTTTATGAGAAAAAGGAATTATATCACACTTGTCTAGACGTAAGTATTGTGTATAATTTTATTACAAAATAATTTATGTACCTTTACAGTACAATGTATTTTAATACTCTCCTTTACATTACAGCTGAACCAATCTTCAAAACAATAATTGTGCTGTTTTTTCCCCTTGGCACTACAGCCCCAGTGGGCCTAGGCCTACCTCCATGAACTTCTCCGTTCACTTCGGTTTTTCTAGATCTTAGACATGCGGTAGGACTCCTTGGACGGATAATCAGCTCGTCGCAAGGCCCTACATGTACACAAACACAGAAAAACGCACACAAACATCCATGCCCTGAGTAGGATTCGAACCCACGATTCCGGCTTCCGAGCGAGCGAAGACAGTGCACGCCTTAGACCGCTCGGCTACCGTGACCGGTACTGTGCTGTGTTTACAGTTCCAATACTTAATTAAAATATGTTGTGTATAACATCCATCTGAAAATAATCTTAAAAGACTGAAATATTTTGTACAATCTACTGTCTCACACTGAAATTAAGGTGCTGTGATGACGCATTACCACGAACATTGTACACGAATAATATATGGCCTCAATGATATGTTTTAAATTTTCAAATTTCTGTATTCACATACTTGGATATTCATGGTTCTGTCAAAATTATACAATTAAAGAATTACGCATAAGTGTTATTTACACTTACTTTTATTAAAGCTACAGATGTCTCGTTTCGTTTATTTAATTATTGGATGAATTACAATTTCACTTACACATTCATTGGTTTTATAAAGTCAGTCGCATGTTGCGCGATTTCCTACTGTATTATACCCCATTTTCCATTCCATTTTACGGCACGAATATTATCCTTGATAATTTGTGTTTATTTTGAAATTACATATTTTAAACTCCTGTGTAAGTTGCAGCTCAATAATTGGTAATTTTACCAAATAATATTCCAGTAATCATAAGAAGGAAGACGAGACAACAGGGTATATACCCATAGTTATACTAACTAACGAACGAACTAACTAACTAACTAGCTTACTTACTCACTAGCTAACTAATTTCATGGAGCTGGGCCCTTCTTGATAAGCCGCCAGCTGTACAACTACTCAAGAACTTCCCAAAATGTTATGGAAGCCGATGGCACATTACCATGTTCACAAGAGCCCTCCACTGGTCCCTACCCTGAGCCAGATCAATCCAGTCCATACCATACCATTCTCTCTCTTCAAGGTACATTTTATTTTTTCCAAGGTCTTGGTCTTCCTAATGATCTCTTTCCTTCTCGCTTTCTCGCCAACGTCCTATATGCTTCCTTGACGCCCCCATTCGTCCTACATGCCTTGCTCATCTCATCCTCCCTGTCTTGATAAATCTAATTATACGTCCCGAAGAGTACAAGTTATGAAGCTCTTCATTATCAAATTTTCTGCAACCTCCCGTCACTTCATCCCTCTNCTCCACTGGTCCCTACCCTGAGCCAGATCAATCCAGTCCATACCATACCATTCTCTCTCTTCAAGGTACATTTTATTTTTTCCAAGGTCTTGGTCTTCCTAATGATCTCTTTCCTTCTCGCTTTCTCGCCAACGTCCTATATGCTTCCTTGACGCCCCCATTCGTCCTACATGCCTTGCCCATCTCATCCTCCCTGTCTTGATAAATCTAATTATACTTCCCGAAGAGTACAAGTTATGAAGCTCCTCATTATCAAATTTTCTGCAACCTCCCGTCACTTCATCCCTCGTTGGTTCAAATATTCTCCTCATCACACTGTTTTCAAAGACCTCAGTCTAAAATTTTCCTTTAATGTCGAGACGAAGTTTCGTACCCATACACAACCACAGGCAACAGTATAGTTTTGTATATTCGTCTAATTATACATTTGGTATTAATTGTGCGTACATTTTAGTTGAAAAACCAGAAGGGGAGAGGCCGCTTTGGAGGGTCAAATGCAGATGAAAGCATAATAATAAAATTGGTTTTACGGATGTAAGATGTCAGAATGCGGCAGCCACCTGTTCACACTGGTTCCTCGCTCGCTGATTTTTCTAAAGTGAAGTTGGAGACGATAAGTTCCTCCGAAACGTCGGTTCACACAAGATTATACAGCACCACATCCAAGAAGATGACATTCTTAAATTAGCTTAGTTAAAAATTGGTTTATAAAATAAATTTACGAAATTAAATAACAGTTTCTTAATGTACGAGAACTTCAGCACGAAAAATAACATACAATTTTAATGTGTCATATAAAATTATTATGAAGCAGAGGCTTCTGATGTATGTACGTCTTTGAATGATGTGTCTTTCCATGTTTCTCCTTCAGCATTGTCTGAAGTACTGCATCATCGTTAGTGGATTACGTGTCCAGTTAGTAAGTGCTCCTTACCCAGGGTCTTAGCAGAATTCCTTAGCTCCTATTGCAGATTGCATATAGCGTATTGTCATTTAGTTAGCTTCGATATATATAGGCATGGCAATGACGTATGCTGAAGTGAAACAGCCACTGCCGGATATTTAGCGCTTTTAGATTTTATAAAATCATTTAATGAAAGTTTACTGCAAATATTTTTAAGTTAACAAAGTAATCACTTAGAAATATGTTTACAAAACTTGAAAGTTACTGCGATCCTAAAAATCGGGAAATGTGACACTCTGCCTGAATCTTCCCGCTGTTTCTTCGTGCCTTGCTGAATTGTTTGAACTTTTACAGGACCTATGAATTTAGATATTGAAGAAAAATTAGGAAATATCTCAATTTCGGAAGAGACTTAAAAAAATTCTTCCTTTCTGCGTCCTCTTTTTTTCTTATGTACTTTCCGTAATAAACTTTCAGATATACTCGTACTGCATTTGTTACTCTCCTTCATCTCTATACCCATCCTTGAAGGACTGAAGAAGCTGTCATTTGCACTTTTATTCGTGTTTTCTTCTAACACCTCGGATGTGTCTCGTATTTCAATTTGAAGACATCCTGGCCCCCGACAGAGACATCTGTCCTGAAGCAGTCTGTTGCTGGCACATTATTTCAGTGTACATTGTCGTCAGCGAGAACCGGAAGGGGCGAAACATATTTGGCGGTTTGTTTTAAGACGCAGTCGGTATTTAGACTCTATACGAAGGAAGGTTGGTATGACTGATGAAAGATAAATGTTAAAGGATTTGGAAAGAAATGGTGGTCGTGGCCTAATATAAGTATTATATCGGTGTTTGCCTGAGGGGACGGCAGAAATCCACGAAAATACTTTCAGGAGAGTAGGTGTCCCTACAGGGATTCAAACAGATCTCCTCTCGAATAAAAGTCTGGAGCGCTACATCTACACCAGCCAATGAGTTTTCTTGTTCCCGATATCGGAGAAGAGGTATTATAAGATATCAGCAACTCCCTGTCCTGAAATTCTGTCTAGGATTTTCTTTCGGAAGATCAACACTATCAAAAGAGAGTAGAGTCCTTATATACAAGCAGCACTGAAACCCACTTGGACGTATGGTATTCAGCTATGGTGGAAATTTCAACATAGAAATCCTCCATCGCTTCCAATTCAAGACTCTCCAACCCATTAAGGCACCTATAGACAACAGCGAAACTACACAGACTGAAAAGATTCTTTGTCTTAACTCTACCAGACAGATTTGAGTAAAACCTCAATACAGAATTGAAATGGTGCCTAAGTGAACAGTAAACGAGCCAGCACAAATGCCCAATTTGCAACATATGTCCGGAAATGTTACCCACAGAGTAGGGATTTGGAAGACTGGTGGCATAAACTTTGATCCAACTACGAAGTCACGCAGTAATTTTCAGATGAGATAACTGTTGAATTTTTAACAGGCCCCAGACTCATTCCTCAGTTTACCCACGGTATGGAGTATGTTGAAGAAAGTGCAGTGTTTCATTGAATACGTTTTCCCTCACAATACCAAATCAGTAAGAGTTTCTGCAC